ATATTCACCTAGATCATGTAACCTATTTCATACTTATATATATATCACTTCTATTATTTCTTTTATATACAAATTAATCTATTTAATTCAAGTTCATCTAATTCCTATAATCTTCTCATATGGCTCCATAAATATCTATCATAACACTCATGTGTCATAATTTTATTTAAACATATGAATCTTCCTCATCTAGCTCATCTTATATGTTCATATTATCACTTATGCTCAATACTTCTAGTTAATATATTATTCTCATCTCATCCTATAGGTCAATATTATTTAGCTTACTTCGCTCATATCATTTCTCATAAACTCACTTTTATAATATTCTCATATTATTACGTAATTTATCTCATATCATGTATTTGTATAGTCTTATATTTTCATTTCCATATATCACATAGATCTTATCACATAACTTATCCTTTATACTCATTTAATTTATTAACTTATTTTGTATTCTCTTATCATCACTTAATAGTGTCTTTACAGAAATCACATAGCACATACAAGAACATATCAATTCATATAAACAAGCATCCATACACTTATATTAAAAACATGTTACTATTTATAAATTCACACGCAACACTATAGGAAATAGACTTGTTGCAAGTCTTATTTCCATCAACCATCATATACTATCGAATATGTACTCACCTTGGTCTCACTAAGTTCCAATCCTCTTTTACGATTTCCTTTATTTCGGTCGAATCTTAACTTGATGATCGTTCCGGAACTTGTTCGTGCTCGCTATCTACATAATTATACACAGATCCATATCATTATTCTAATCTTTTAATTCCTTAAACTAAAAGAAATGATGATTTCATCTTTTATTTAAGGTAGGCATCGGTACACTCTGTAGTGTATCGATGCATCCCTTAACGTGTGTATCGATGCACTACCTATGCATCTTACATTCGATGTTTTCATCTTACGGGGGTACATAGATGCACGGGAATCGATACACACTTCATGTGCATCGATACACACTGAATAATTTATGGAAATTTACCCTTGATGCGTCGGTACATGTTGAATGTGTACCAATGCACACTAGGCCAGAATTCCAATTTATGACGAAAATTCACTCTTTTCAGCTTAATTGCTTCATATATCATCCCCTTTCTTATTCTTAACTTACATACTCATGCTTAAACTCGTTTATTCTCATTTATCATATCTTTATCCTCAAAATTCTATATTCCAAATGGAATTCAAGAATTATACCAAATTTTCTATATGTTCTAAATTCAATTATATCACTCCAAATCTCTTAATTCAGCTATTAACAAGTCAAATTTAACTTCAAATTCTACTTATCAACTCTTTTCCAAAATTTCATTTAAAAACTCCTAATCTTTAATCTCTCTTAACTCATTCATCTTATATTTTTAAGACAAATTAAGCTTTCCTTAAGCTTAATTATCATCTAATGATCATAACCAAATCTTAAATTCAGGTAAATATCAACAACAAGAAATCTTACCTTTTCTCTTGGCTTCCACTCTTGAAGAAGAAAGGAGAAGAAGAGAATTCTAGAAACTGAAACCTTATCTCTCTTTACTTCTACGTGTTATATCTTATATAAAGGGGAAATAAAATCTTTCTTGTGAAATTACTATTATACCCTTCAAATATTTCCATAATTATCATCTAATCCAATAAGGAATTATTCCTATTTAAGTAATTGAACTTTTTAACTTGTTTCGCAATCGAGCACATAGTTTTCAAAATTTGCAATTTAGTCACTGACCCTGATTTGGGATGTTACAAGATATGTGCCTACAAAGATTCTTAAAGTAAAGTGGCAAGCAACTTGCATTTTGTAGAACACGAGTTCAAAAAAGATTCCTGATGTGGCGACAGTTGATTTGATGTGGTAGTTTAATGTGAAATGAAATAGACCTCACGTTTTGCATGGCACGATTTCACTACCACGTCACGTAGAGGTTCTTGACCTTTTTGAATTTTTTTATTCTATAGAACCTAACCATCTCCGCGAAACCTTCTTTTTCCTTCATAAATGATTTATCCATTCTAAAAAAACTTGAAAAAGGCATCCTCTTTCAGTGGCATCTTTTCTTTATCCACACTAAGATAGTTAACATAAGTGTCTCTACAACATCAAATATAACCAATATTGTTCTTCGTGGTCAAAACGAATCTGCACGATGCGTTGTTCAAGGCATCCTCTTATTGTGGTATCTAGATTTCTACTTAGGCCTGTCGAGAAACTTCTTGCTCCATCAATTAGGTCCAATCAAACACCTTTTCAGAAACGTTGTTGTGCTTTTTTCCTTTGCGTTTTGTACCCATGAGTTTTATTTGCGTTTCTTTATTGTCTTGGTACCCCTTTATTATAGAAGACATCCTCTTCTAATGGAAACATCTACTAGTCCCGTATGCTAATATATGCAACATACATCAACGACTTTAGATAATTTTTGGAGCTATTTACGCCACTACAAGTTATTTAAAAAATATGTTTGTTGGTTTTAAAATGTTTGAAATTTTTTTAATGCGATGCTTACAATTTCTCGTATGTGTCCATATCAATTTCAATTGAAAGATAAATTGCAATACTACGCCTCTAAGCTCAAACATTACACAAATTCTTTTATTAACTTCCTGAAAATACTCAACGAACATGTCTATCAATCCATTTTAGCTTGTTCTTCATGCACAAAGCAAGCTTTGGTACCATTTTAAACACGATTTTTACTCCACTTATAATGTCTCGTATGTGCTGATATTAGACTAAACTGAAATACAAGTTCATATATTATGCACTAATCTAATAAGTTACGAGAATTTTACAATTTATGATCTCGTGTTTTGAACCCAACAAGGTCAATTATGTCACGTTAGATTTTATTTGATTCAAATTCAACGTACATCGAGTCTTGTGTAACACGGGTTCCTTTTTGACACGTTGGATATTATTCGATTTAAAGCATTGTGCCTTTTCAAAGTACATTGCGTCTTGGAAAACCCAAGTTCTATCGATTCCTCACTTCAGGACGGGTGTGAGGACTATTATAAATAGGGGTCCATTTTGGAAGGTTTTCTAAACATATTTCAAAGAAAAATGACAAAGAAAATATGTTTTAATATTGTGGAGTTATTCCCGAGAGAATTGTTAAAATAAATTTTTATACATGTGGCTTCTAATTCTATCATTGATTTTGTCAATACGTAATTGAGTTGCAAGACTTTTCATGAAGTTACGGATCACAACTACATTTTTCAAAATGTTTCAATGATAAATTTCGACTTCATGCCATGAAATCAAGCCGAGAAAATGTTTCATGAAAGATGTCTTGTTGCTAATAATCATGAAGCTTTATATAGAGATGATGTAAGGTATGGCTCATAAATATACCGGTAAAGAGTACAGTGTTAATTTTGTAATTATGTACCAGATTTATTTATTATAAGTAGAGATGTAACCTAAACCTATGTGATATTGAATAAAAACTTCTAGCGCCACTTAGGCACCGAGGACGTAAGCACATTGCTGAACCTCGTTAAAATTCGTGTGTTCTTCCGTTTTATTTTCCCTATTCTTCAACAGATGACATGTATAATTATTTTAGTGGAAGGAACTCGGAGTTCGGTCTGTATTGTTTGAAGAAAGCAGACGATAAAAGTAATATCAACGTCATATATGTCTATGGTCTTATTCTAATTTATTCTGGTGGCAAATTAAGAGATGAAGGACTTTGAATCGTGAAAGCTCACGATTTCGCCAATTTAGAAGTTATTCGTTCAGAGATGAATCTGTTTTTACGCTTAATGTCGTGGAGTCATCACAACATTGCCTTTCCAAAACAAATCGAAGTTTGTAATTGTCCTAACAACTGTTTGCGTAATTCATACCAAGTTTGGAAAATGGACTATAACTATTTATGTACTTGTTATGATTCTTGTTTTTGGAGCCATGAAACAATTTTGTTTTGTAACATTTTACATAGATATTGAATTTTAATTTTAATTACTATTATCTATTTATAACGATAGTTTTTATGTTATTTTATTATATATTATACAATAAAAATATAATGATTAAATTAAATTTGAGGTTCGTCCAAAAGATGTGATACTTGAAATTTCTCGGGACGTTTCAATATCTTGGGGACCTCGCATTTTTTGTAACACGATTTTATTAAGTGAAATATTAAATTGCATTCTCTGAAAAGTGTTTCCTTGGGGAAAAAACTCGCGTCCTATATAACGAGAGGATTTTACTCGTTTTTAGGACGCGAGATAGTGCTAAGTATGCATTTTAAAAGTATTTTTTTCTAACAAATCTTGTTTGACGTACTGTTCCAAAAATTTTTTGGAATTTTTTAAACTAATAACGTCGGGGTAGTGGCCAACTTTAGTTGATGCTAATTATCAAAAAAAAAAAACTTTAGTTGATGCTTTGTGCCATTTCAAAAGTTATAGTACTAAAATTAGTCCTTAATTTTTATTAAAAGAGTCATTTTTTAATTTTATTTTAGAGCATTTTAATTCTAAAATTTTATTTTTTGGTAAAAAATTCATTAATATTTTACAAAATAATTACTTTAATTTTTATTTTTTTTCTGAATATTTTAGCTCTCAATATTTTATTCTAATTAAAAAATTCATATTTTGAAGTATTAATTACATATTAACTAATAATTTTTATTTATAAACAGCTTTTTATCAAAATACTAAAAAAATAAGGGATAAAATGGCCATTTGATAAAGGTTAGGCTAAATTTGACATTATATCATTCCAAAACTCTGCACCGACAGATCACTATTTACTTCACTACTACTTTACTAATTACACTCTGCACTGAAACTCAGCCACCAGATTGAAGAATGAAGAAGACCAATCCCATTTGCATCCATTAATACACTCTTGACCATTCCTTACATTTTCCTCTTAGAGTTCCATTTGTTTTTTCTGCAGATAATTTGTGTATTAATAAAACATAAAAGAAGCTTACAAAACTATGCAAAAGTACAAGGAACCAAAGCTGCACTAAAATTCATGAAACAAAGCCAGAAGAAAGAAGCCAGAATAAGCTTTTTAAAGTAAAAGCCATTTACATATGCTTCATACATCAACTTTACATGGAGGAGCTCCGACCAAAGGCACCGGTCCTGTCACCCCCTTCTTCAAACCAACCCAAACATCGCATTTCACATAAACGTCGTACTTCACTGTCTTTATAGCACCCGCCTTCCATCTCAACTTCCCCAACACCACCACCCTCATCGCCACCACTCCGTAAGTCTCATCCATCATCAGTCCATTCACCACCTCCACCGAAGCAGGCACCGTCGCACTGCCGAGAACCGGAGAAAACGCCACTGTGGTCTTCGTCTCGTGGAACAGTGGTGGTAAGTCCAGTGGGGGAGTGATCTGTTGGTTTTTGTACAGAACATAAGCTTGCAACTTGTCGTAAAGGATGGAGACTCTCCTGTTGGGGTTTCGTGTGACTATGGTGAATTGCATGGAGGTGGAAATGAAGGGTTGGGAAGTGGCGTTGAGTTGGTAGATGGCGGCGCTTACGACGGTGAAACGAGGCTTGTGGGGACGGTAAATGAGCCATAGGGTAAGTGCAGTAATTCCTAGTAAGAGGAGGAAAATGAAAAGACATAAGCCACAAGACCGGCCTCCGCCTCTTCCACCTCCTCCTCCGTGGCTTTGTTTTGGTGGCTTGTGTTTGCTTTCTTTTGGCATTTCGTCTTTTGGGTTTTCTTAGTCTGTCATGGGAAATCGAAGGTATTTGTAGTGCAAAATGGATGGAAAGTGAAAATAAAGAAAGGTTTTGGGTGGTGATGACCGGCCGAATGACAATTTTGAAAAAGATAGAAGGAATAATATGTTATTTGTAACGCGTAAGAAATAGAACAGAACAGGGGAGGATTGGGTCCATCAATGATGCCTCGATGGCTGTTAAAGTGGGCTTTGTGTTTTGATAAAAGCAAATGAAGCTTTCTCTTTTGTTTCTTTTGAATTTTCATATATTAGTCCCATTGATTTTTTTAGTTTCTAACTTATTCAGAGGGAGTGGGGTTAAAAAAGAGAATTAAAAAAAAAGCAAATGAAGACGTGATTTAGTCATGACCGATGAGTAACTGTAAGTTAGTTCTATTCACACACTATTGTAAAGTTAATTAGGCACTGATTTTATGCTATTCGAAGCCACGTGAATCAGATATGAACACGTACTAGTACAAAGTTGATAAGAAAACATAATTAACTTAAAATATGCTATTCAAAGTTGGGTAGAGCTACCAAGCTGAGTGGTAGCTTTAGTCGTTGGGACCACTTTTCTAGTAGGACATTTAAATAACACCTACAAATACAAATTATTATGCTTGTGATTTCCAAATTATTTGTCCAAACTTTGTAGTTTGTCGCCTTATCCAACATTAACGAAGTTGGGTTTTCGGTAAACTTGAAGGAAAAAACTTTCAAAAAGAAATTCGAGTTAAAACGTGGGAAATAATATAGAAAGAAAAGGAATAATATAGAAATAAATAGAAATTTAAATTATTTTGAACATAAAATAATGTTTATTAGTCGCAATAATGCATGTTTAAAGAAGGCACTAGTAAGAGAAACAAATCAAAAAAATCTCTACGATGCAGGGTAAGCAGATGAGTGGTGGAACTCGAGCACCGGCAAGAAACACCGACAAAATGGATAAGTTTTTTACCCGAATCCATGCATAGGTGGCTGCTGCTTCATGCTTGCTGGGCAGTTGGAACCCGTTCCCACAGTCATTGAATCGGGTCCCATTAATATTCAACTGTTCACACGTCAGACTTCCATGCTTTTCTTCCTTTCTTCCACGTGAAACAACATCCCCCATTTTAACTCGTATATTGAACCAAATTAAATTATCTATATACAACAAACCCTGCCAAACTACAATAAGTCGGTTGTCCAACGTATATTCAAACACACATCTGATATATACCAGGAAAAAGGAGACTACCTCACCACTCACGATATAATAATACCGCCTACTTGAGTTGGATGCAAAAACCTACAGTCATCATCCATGGCAAATTACTCGAGGAGCTGGCAAAATATTTCGGCTATCTGTATGATTCGTCTTTATTCCTTACAAATCAAACTTCTTGGAGATGTTGCAACAGCAATAACATGGCTTCATGTTTTCAACAAGACTTAAGATACTTGACATTGCCTACAGGGGTGTCATGTTGCACTTGACGGACAAACTGTCCTTTTACATGGGGACGCTGCTCTGCCAGACGCTTCTGGTTCTGATATCAAACCTGTTTAGGTTAAAAAAAAGGATACACTGTCATAAGTATAGAACCATAGTTCTAATCCTTGTACCTTACCAAAAGGAATATTAGTGTAGTAATATTAATGTACCTTTTTCTCAAAGCATCGATCTTTCCGCTTAAGTCGGAATTTTGTCAAAGCGGCTTCTCTTTGGCTGGAGTGATGAGCATCCATCCTTTTTAATCCATCATGAACAAAGCAATTGCTACTACTGGAAATATCCTCGGTTGTGCTGTCATTAATTGCTGCAGCAATAGCAGCACTGGCACTGGCATTGCCACAACACATACGACCTTCATGAGCGAAGCTCTTCTCATGATTTGAGACATCATTACACAAGTGACTGCAAGAACTCTGATCGTCAACAGGAGAACTGCACCTTAGTTCCTCAACAGGCTCCTGCTTGACCTGCCCTTGAACAGTTTGAACAACAGTAGAATTGGTAGCTTCATCAGACAAGAGATTACCCTGTTCTCTGAGTCATGAACAGGATTTGAATGCACTGAGGTGCTCACGGGAAGGGGAGAATGTTCTTGCATTGCTGCTTGTTTGGGACTACATCCAATATCCAGCCTCACCCCTGTAACAGAAAACAGCCCAAGTGATGCTTTTGAATATTTTCTCACATTGACCCTTCACTGGACTAGGAAGAATCTCCCAACTATCACTCGGTGTAACAACATGAAGTTCAGAAATACCATTGTTACCTTCCAGGTCTCGTATGGGTTTACTGTCATTCCTTTAATGCAACACGGTTGCCATCTACGGTAGGGAAAATGGACTTTAGTGACTTCCTATTCTTATACCTGTATTTCAATAAATAGAGATGTAGCACACAGCCATATTTCCTTCAAAATTGAATGAATTCTGTACGAAGAATATTGATAGAATTTATTTGATCCAAAAGTTTACTTCATCCTGAATTCAGTTGCCCGTTCACATCAAATTAAGGAATCCAATTACTTTATTCTGGTTTACTAAGTCCTTTATTCTGGTCCACTAAGTCCGTTACTTGGCACAGGCAAAATAAAGAATGCTCGCTACAGATCACGGAGGAGAAGGATTTCAGCCCCCTGAAATGTATATATATATATAGACATAGATATAGATAGATAGATATACCTTACCTTTACCTAATCTCTAATTCTCCCAAAAATGTTTCTAATAAATAGTGGTTCAAGAAACAAAATTTTCAGGAATAGCCAAAGAAATCCTTCATTAAGAATAATAAAATATGGAGAAAGAACAAAACATTATTAAATCATAAGATCAAGTAACTTTTTTGGTTAATTCAACAAAGATCAAATAAACAATAAAATCGCATCTTATTTTTGCCTAAACATCTATAGACCTCAAGCTCAATTATACAGAAAATAAAAGAAAGGAAACAGAATGTTTACCATGAGAAAGCTGATGCATCAGAACGATTTAATATATGCTTTTCACCGGTACCTTGATTCTTTGTGCTTACTGAACAAGATCTTCTCATAGAAAACTCCAACTGTGGAGAAAATTCAGACTTGTTTGGACCATCACTGATCACAAAGGTGCCCTTGGGGTGTTTATCAAATGAAGCAATTAAATCAATAGCTCCAGTAGAAGATTCCATTAATTTGTCGTTGCAGCCAACTCCCAGGGTAGCATGCCCATTTCTTCCTTCACTTTGTAGTCCAACAGTATCATGTGTCGTCCTTTCAAGGAAAGCAGAGCTTTCTTCCAATTTTGGTGCAATGGATTCACCAGTGTCACTGCAATGGGCAACCTCCTTTACAAATCCCTTTGAATTTTTGGAGACAAATAGCTTGCCATATATCCCTGCTCGTGAAGAGGAAAACATTTCTCTTTTAGCAGATATTAGAAAGGGAAAAATTAAGAAGAATTAAAACAGGGTAAAAAGAGATTGTAACATACCTTCAGCTTGACCCTCATTTTTAAGTGACTCTTGACCCAGTTTGAAAACATTTTCCTGATGCTCTCTGCCTGTATAGCTAATATATGAACTTGTACACTTCCATTGCGAAAGTCCCTGCATATTTCACATGTATGTACTCTAAGCTTCCAAGTAAGGCGTTCTACAAGAGCTGTGCACAAGTGGTGGCAACACATGCAGTCTCTATGTGGAACTACAAGAAGCCAATCTACTCTGGAAAAGAATGTTTGCTCACATACTCACCGAACCAACACTTGTCAAGTAGATTGCAGTATCATTAATGACCCCTCATAAAAACGAACAATTCTCGACTAATACTTAACTTGTCATAGTGGAAACAACTAACCAATTATTCATTTTCTTGGCTTTCGGACATTCAAAGAACACTACATGGATGCCTTTATTAAATCCAACACCAAAAGATAAGAAAATGCTCACTTGGGTATCACTTTCGTCTTTAATATTCTGTGTAGATGATCCATAATCACTGGATTGGTTACTCTCATCATTGTTCTCAGCCGTGGCTTCAACTTTATGTTCTGACATAGGCAGATTATGTGGAGCACATCCACCAGCTAGCGGATACAATGTAAAGCAAATACCAGAAAATTAAAAAAAAAATCAATCCAAGTTAAATGCTTGATTTCAACCAAGAAACAATGTAACAAAATGTGAGCAAATTGCATACCATATGTCATGCTGCCACAGATTTCTCAACTCATTCGTCCGAACAGGCTTGATAAGAAAGTCAGCTGCACCTTTAACATACACTTCAGAACCATGCTAAATGAATATTCCGATAGCATCTGTTTAGTTATATAAACAAAAAGGATTTTAGCTTCATTCCTAATCAAGTATAATTAATAAATCAAAGATGGTATAGCATCAATATAATTTTAGTTGAAATTGCATACTTATAACTGGAATATTATTGCAGATATCATGTTCCGTGACCAAAGTAAGAAGCGCGTATCCAGATATTGAAGGCAACTCTACTTCAGTCAATATATGATCAATGTTATGAGGTCGATCCTTTAGAGTCTCCCACGCCATTAAACCATCAGGAACAGCCGCAACTATTGAGAAAACAATAAGGCGTTAAAAACAGAAGGGAAATCAAACAACTAATATAATTTAATAGGTAGATCTAGATAAATAGAATAATAACGATTTAACAAAATGAAGGGAAGGTAAAGAAGAAACCTATGTAACTGCATTTACGAAGAAGAGCGGTGATAATCTGACGAGTTGAATCATCGGCTTCGACTAAAAGTACTCTGAGAACCATTCGCGGCAAGAATATTTCCCATAAGGATCCATCATTTTCTTCGTTACTCTTCTTCTCCGCCGCACCTACTTCCATTTCAACCATTTTCAGATACCATATTCAGTGGAAAGGAAGAAAGGAAATTTGTTAGCAGTGCAATTATCCAATTAACTTCATCCTCAATAAAAAGAAAAAAAAGTGAAGAATATCTGAAGTTTTGAGAGAATCGAAAACCGCCTGAGTGTAATTTGATATCCATCTTTTGTTTATAGCCGCGAAAACCACATAAAATATCTTCGTCTGCTTTGAATAAACCAAAAAGAAAGTGAAGCGAAGCGAAGCGAAGCTAAGACTTTGTGATTTTTTTTTCTTCATGCGGATCAAAACACAGGTTGGGGGAGGAATCGGATCAAAAGGTGAGCCGCCATTGGCTTCTGGTTGGTGAAGCTGATGTGGCGCAACTCGGACTACTGTTCTTTCACGTGATTCACTGTGATGGGAGTGGAGAAATCTAGTGATCTTACACGCTGTGAGGGGGAGCCGCGCGGGACATGTGTTGAATGGTACGATATTCAAGGTAAGATATTATCTGAAGTTTCCACAACGTGGTAACACGTGGTACCTCATGGTTCAGAATTCGACACGTGGAAAATCTTGGATTTGTGGCTTTCATCTTACGTTTTGGTTGATGTGAGGAGGGCTGTTGACTGTTTCCAGTACTATCAAATTTAAATTTTAAATTAGATCATATATTATTTGACAAATTCAAAAGAAATAAAAATTTTACCCGCGCGTATGAGGAAAGTACGGCTTAGGATTTTGCAGTTCCTCATTCCTTAGGATGGGATCGTAGTCGTAGATAAGACATGGTGGCTCTGGTCACATCAGTTTGAAAGTTTAATCAAGTAAATTTTATATAATATGTATGGTAAGCACAAACTCTTTAGAGTTCGTTTGATTCACGAAATGTAAACTTATTAATAGAAATAAAAATTTATAAGGGAATATGATTGCTGAGAATGTTGTATTTTATGTTTAGTTGATTTAGCAGGAATGTAAGATTACCGTGTTTGATTAAAGGAATAAAATATTATTGGAATGTATATTTAACCAAATTATCCTTATTATATATTTGTTTTTTCACAAGTTGAAAAATATTTATATATTTTCTTTAAAAAATTAAATTCATAAAATTTATATAATTTTTTTACAAAATTAAAAATATAAAAAAGTTTAATGAAAGGGTAAAATTTATTTTAACCCCTGAATTTCATATAGAATTTTAATTATAGATTTGTTTTGTAAATCTAAAATAGTTTAAGGATAAATTTGTAATTTAACATTCGTAAAATTTTTATTATTCAATGACAGAATAAGGATATTTTTGAAAGAAATTTTTTTAAGGGCATTTTAGTCCAAAACGTCGGTAATCCAACAATACCTAAAGAAATGGAGGTAATGACATTCCCGGTAATATACTCAAAAAAATCCACTATTGGTAATGTAAGATTACCGGGAATGACATTCCCGACTAACCAAACGGAGGAATGTGAATTTCATTCTTATGAGAATCTCACATTCCCCTAACCAAACACAGCCTTAAAAACATAACATATCCATATTAGGTTATTATCAATATAGGCCTATTTACATAAATATCACTAATTTAAAAATCAATTATTAATTTATTATTATATAAAAATTCAATTATTATTTGACATCCATTTTAAATTATTTATAAAAGAATATTCTTTTATGTCATATAAAATAAAATACTTCTTATAAAATGTATCTTTAATTTTTTTCGAAACTCATTTAATAAAATACGAAAGAATGTAGAAAACGACAACCTCTTTCGTCACCCATGATGGATGATTTTCCTGATATATCACCGTTGAATAGTATATTTTCTGATCAGGCACCGTTCAGACTATATTTCCTAATCTAACACCCTTTGCAGAAAGGTGCGGTCCCTGCAACGTGTTTTACGCTGATTTGATGTCACGTGGGGTAAGGCGCGCCCCTGAAGCGCGTCTTATGCTGACATGGTAAACACGTGTGTACAGGGGTATAGCGCGGTGCAGTGGCCGCACCTTACCCCAGAATCTGCCACGCGTCAGTAAGGTATGCCTTGGGTATAATTACCCACCTACCTCGACGTTTCACCCCCCATCCTCAATTATTTTCATCACACCAAATTCTCTCAACTTCTCTCAAATACTCTTATAATCTCTATCTAAAGTATATTTTATTATATTTTTAATATTTTGTATTTAATTTATTTAAGTATTTAATTTATTTAATATTTTATTTAATTAATTTTTTTGCAGATATAAAATGGAAGACGGTCTACTTCGCTTGGATGAAAATCATATATCTCGACACTTTGTTGATACGATAACATTTTAACGTTTTAATTTAATTTAAATTATTAGTAATTATTTGTTGATTTATTTAATGTATGATTATTAGATTAAGAATTAATTTTTGTAATTATTTAATTTTAGAAGAAGGACCGTGTATTAGATCCATTCATTGGGAATCTTAAGTTAGTGATACCTAGTCGTTTCTTGTCGTATTTAGTAGAGGCTGGATTCGGTTACATAGGTAGATATCAGGGTCACTGTAAGATAGAACCAGACCTTATTTCTAACTTAGTAGAGCGGTGGAGGCCGGAGACCCATACATTACATCTTCCGTGCGGAGAGTGCACGATTACACTTGAGGATGTTGCTATGCACCTGGGGCTTCCGGTGGATGGAGATGTGATATCGGGGATCGCGCAGGGTTCCTGGACTGCTTTGTGACGGGATAATCTAGGACGTGTCCCGGAAAGTTTTAATGGTGGTCGGATACCATTAAATTGGTTAGATGCCAATTTTCAAGAGTTGAGCGAGGACGCGTCAGATGATGAAGTTAAAATGTATGCATACTGCAACTGATAGGAGGGTTGTTGATGCCGGACAAATCGTGCAACCAAGTTCACTGTAGGTGGTTGCGACATCTTGTCGACTTTCGTCTGGCCGAATCACTCAGTTGGGGCTCGGCAGTTTTGGCTTTTTTGTACAGGGAGATTTGTCGAGCCACTGACTACAGGTGTAATGCTATCGGCGGATGTCTTCTCCTGTTGCAGTCTTGGGCATGATATCGATTGCCCTTTTTATGTCCCGTTGTGAAGAATCCATTCGTATTTCCGCTACTCTTGAGGTAATTATAAAACTGATTTCGTATATTAATCATTTTATATAGGGTATAATAAATTTTTTTTCTCGAATAGGTGGTCGACTGATTGGAAAAATCATCAGGAGCTACCCAATGATTTAGAAAAAATTAGGGTGCTCATCAATCAGAAAGCTGGCACACATGTTGAATTTTAATGTTTAAAAATCGATTTTAGATTATAGTTATATTTTTGATAAAAATTATATATATATATATTTGTTTTAATTTGAATGGGTTTCATATTCTAATGATGATGTGAGGACGGCGATCCCACCTGAGTTGAGGGGCCCATCAGATGTTTGGATGGCGATGGTCCCTTTGATCTGTTATGCGACCGTCGAGTGGCACTCCATTGATCGTGTGCTTCGGTAATTTGGTTATTTTCAACCAATTCCGGAAGCACCTCGCAATATGGACGAGTTGCATAGCACAAATAGACGCGGCAAGACCCATACAGATTGGTTGGTGAGGCATCATGAGTGGGTGTTGTTGTGAGAGGATCGACATTGGCGCCTTCCCCGTAAAGAGCCCATTTTTATGACCTCTTGATGGTTGCTGATGGTTATTATGACTGGTTCAACAGAAACGGGAAATCGTTTCTACTTCCTGATGATGCACGCGGGCGGACCTTTCCACGACGTCGACAGAGTCGTTCACCGATATAGTACCATCACCCTCCGACTCGTGGACGGAGAGCATGTGCTTCCGGTTCATCCTCAGCTGCACCAGCATGACCTTCACAGCAGCCACCATCTGCAGCGACTTACATACCACATCCATATGTTATGCCGTCACCGCCATTCCCTTACCCGATATCGCCGCCGCCACCATCACCTGGTTTTATGACCCCGCCGCCACCACCTTCATAGAGTTATATGACCCCTCCTGGATGCTATTATGGGTCTATGTTTGCAGATTTGACTTGGGGTTCATATGCTAGATATTTGACAGGTTCAGCCTAATCATCCATGGCCGCAGCACAGACACCTCCTGTACAGTTTTCACACTCAACGATGTCTGGGTTTTATGAGTTTTCCCAGTTTTTGCAGGCCGGAGGGATAGTCAGTCATACACCTCTAGGGTCCTTATTCTATGGAGGTGCTTCATCGTCATCAGTTTCTCATCAAAAAAATTTAGCTGCTCAGGACGACGACGACGACGATGATGGTGATGATGATGACAGTGAGGAGTCACAACCAGTGATACGAAGAAATCCTCCTCGAGACCGACAGCCATCGCCCTACGGTACACATTCGCGTCGCATGCATCGATAGATTTGTTTTTATTATTTGTATTAGTACTTTTATTGTAGTTGTTTATTGGACTTTTATTATTTATCATTTAATGCTTACTTTAATTCGTTAATATGGTTCGATTTATTTTAATTTATTTTGATAAATTTGTTGGACTTTTTGTTAATTTATTTTGCTTAATTTTGTTTATTACCATTTAATATTAGTTATTGTAATTTGATTATCATTTACCATTTAATACTTATTGTATCGTTAATATCAATTATTTGTTAATATAACGCCAACATCCAATCTCGTATAATTGTATCGATTTTTTAAAATTCATCAGCGGTTATCGAATAACATTAACTTGAATTAAATACAAATTAAAGTACAATAATTATTAATTGATAAACAACTACATCATTTCCTCATCAATTGTTACTTGATGACAACAGAAGTGGACATGTTTTTCTAGTGTGTCATAGGTTTCTACAATGTCCACATCTTCTGTCTTGTCTAGATCTTTCTCGAATATCCTTATCACAATGAATTCGATTGGATTTTGGACGACCACGCTCTCTCAATAAACTCCGATTTGGTACAATCGAAAGCCAATCTTGAATCTCATCAGGGTCTTTGTCATTACCTATGGGGGAACTCAAATTCGTATACCTTAAAAACTTCAGATAGTAGGTATACGTGATCCACAAAATAATTATAGTCTTGACGTGTATGCGAGCAAGCTGCTATCACATAAGAGCATGGATATTTCAGAGCTTGAAAAAACCTGCAGTCGCACGTTCTATCCCTTATATTTACTCTTAACGACACATCTTCAATCCCTTGAAGAGGTCGCGACAACTCTGTGACACGAAACATTTCATGTCTTCTAGAGAAACTTGTTACAGACATCCCATTTGATGCATCAATTTTTTTCTGTAGATCTGCAAATAATCTAGGGTGATACACATGACTGCCTTGCATCCAGGTTTGAGCTTGTCCCCCGAGCTTCGCAAAAAGCGCCCCCTAACGAAAATATATAGTCTTTACCAAAGCCGCTACAGGTATGTGACGT